CCCAAGGTCTGGAACAGCCTGCCACCGGGGGTGGTTCAAGCGCCTTCATTGAACACCTTCAAGAGCAAACTGGATGCTTATCTTGCTGGGATCCTATGACCCCAGCTGACTTCCTGCCCTTTGGGCAGGCGGCTGGACTCGATGATCTTCCGAGGTCCCTTCCAGCCCGAATGTCTGTGACATCTATGAAAGACCCCCAGGGTAGGAGCCAGCACCACTTCCCTTGGAAGCAGGCTCCAGATCCTAGCCACCCTGACCACGAAGTAGGGATTCCTGATGTCCAGCCTGAACCTGCTCTCTAGCAACTTGTGGCTGTTAGTCCTTGTTACTCCGGGAGGTGCTTGGGGGAGCAGGGTCTCTCCCATTCCCCACTGGTCCCCCCCACGCTCCTGCCACTGGAGGAGTCGCTGCTCCTGGTGCAGGGATCCCAGGGCTAGCCCAGTGCAGCCCATGCCCACGGCCCAGGTCGCACCCCAGGAAGCCACCCTGGCTCAGCCCCACGTGCCTGAGAAACAAACAACGCTCCGTAATCAGCACCGCGCGTGAACCCGTCTGACAGCTTCTGCCCAGCAGTCGCCTCCTGCCTGGGCCTGGCGCCGCTCCCCAGACACCTGCACCTGGCGCCCAGCCCCCGGTCCCGCCCACCAGGGCCAGGCTGCTGCATGTGATGCAGGGCGCGAGGGCGCTGCCAGGACTGGTCCCCAGCCGGGCCTGGGGAAGGCAGAGGGTTTGGCTCTGGCCCCAGTCCCGGCTGAGAGATGAGGAAGCAGGTCAGCCTGCAGGTGCACTGGGAATGCCCAGGGGCATCGGGCCGTCCGCCTTGGGCTGCGAGGCACCAGCGGGGCAGAGGCCACCCAGGAGGGGCTCACACATCCACCCCTGGGCCAGCTCCCTGGCCCTGCCCCAGCAGCACTCACCCCACACTGGGCCCATCGTGAGAAGCGCGAGGCCCGGGGCCAGGCCGAGACACTGGAAGCTGCCAGGCCCCTTCTGCCGTCTCCCCTGAACGAGCACATCCCCCGGGGCTGCTGGCACAGAGCACCCCCAGCACCGCCTCGGGGCCCAGACAACCTCCGCCCAGCCCCTCCAGGCAGCTGGAGTGCACGAGAGCGCTGCCAGGGCCCGGGCAGCCCCCAGACCGATCCAGACTCCTTTGATGCTGGGCTCCCAGCTCCTGCTGGGGCTGCTCACCCCAGGCCCAGTGCGCCGGCGGGAGTCGGGCCAGCCCTCAGAGCGCCTGAGCTGCTGTCCTGCACCCAAGCCCCCGCAGGTCCCTCCAAGGGCGACGCTGCGTCCCACGCTGCCCCCGGCCCCCGCACCGCCCCGACTCCCTGGCCCTCGCCCCCCAACCCCCGCACAGTGCTGCACCCCATTCCCAGCACAGCCCGAAGCACTGCACCAGCCTCTAGGTAGGTCAGGCCTGCCGCAGCGCCCACACCGAGGACGGTAGCTGTCGCATCAGGCAGCGCCTTGCCCCATTTTCTGGCTCCCTCCCTGGCCTGGATTCTCTCTCCTTGCATAACACTGCAGCAGACGCAGGCCCGCAGCCACCTGCAGGAGCCGGCTCCCACCCCAGCCCAGCCAGCACGTGCAGGGCTGGAGCCGCAGGGCTGCCAGAGGTCGAGGGGCACCAGCTACTTGTCCTCCTCTGTCCAGGCACCGTCCTCCAGCCCAGGGCCCTTGCCCCAAGCCCGTGGTGCCTCCACCACAAAGGGGCTGAGCAAAGCGCAGCCGAGACAGGGATTCGGAGCTGGGGGCTGGAGACCCCGAGTGGGCAAGGCCCATGGGGAGAAGCTCTCAATCAGGGCTGGTTTTGCACCAGCACCCTGGGGGTGAAGGTCCCTGCATCCCCGTGCCTGGTGGCTCAGTGCTCCCTGGGTGGCTCCTGGGAACCGGCTCTGCTGGGGCTCCTCAGAGCTGACCCCCTAAAGCCACCTGCCCCCAAGCACCGGCCAAATGTCCGGCCATTCCTGGCAGCAGAGGGCGGAGCAGGGACCCACCGCAGCCAGGGGCCCAACAGCCGCGGGCACGGGGCCACCTGAGAGCAGGGGAGCCAGGGCGGTGCTGGGGGGCGAGGGCGGGGAAGCAGTAGCTCAGGCAGGGGCAGCAGTTTCCTGCATCTGCCCTCCACAAACAGCCCGAGGGCGAGGCTGCGGCACCCACGCAGGTGCA